GGTGAAGATATGATCGATGCAACCTCTTGCAGGACGGAACCCAGCTTGGTTTTCACGGATCTGCCTCTCCCTTTGTTCAGTCAACCTTCGAAGGGTAAGGCCAGAGAGCACCTTCGATGCCACAGCTAACAGGCTGATGCCACGGTGGTTTTCACATAGCGTCCGCGTACCCTTTTTGAAGATAGGGATAACTGTCGACATGCCCCATTCTGCAGGGACTTTCTCTTCGTTCCACCAATAAGCTTTGTCAGATGGGTCACCAGGGATTTTCCGCCTTCTTTGAAGAGGGATAGATACAGACCGTCCGGTCCCGGTGCCTTCTCACGTTTTAGTACAGCTATTTCGTACCTTATTTCGTCTTCCGACGGGCAAGCTTTTCACTCCTTATTTCGTCTTCCGACGGGCAATCAAGCTTTTCACTTCAAATTCGTATTCCTATGATGCTGAAGTTCTCTGACAATACAACCAAGCAAGTAGAAACTTAGTAACGAGGTGGCGAGTATTTAAAATTTCGAAGCTTGTGTGGCATCTACAAAGTGAGGTCATGGTTTTTGCGCTTCAGGTTCCACGCGACATAAAATGGCATCCACTTTACGGGTGAATGATAAGCGCGCTGCCATTTTGCAGTAAACAGTTAGGTGTGGAATGATAAATTAGAACTCTTCGCCTACAACCCATCTTGGCTATCGCACATGAGAAGTGTTTGGAAATCCAAGTTAGGAGAACACAAAGATCCGAAAACACCTTGAAATGCAAAAGGCATCTGTTCAATCAGCACTAGTTAAATGCACCAAAATGTCGTCTCACCAAGCCCCAGCAATCGTATTGGAGTGGTACAAAACGTAGTCACCAATCCAGTATGTTGAGTTACTGTAGCAAAGATAGAAAATTACTGTCCCGTTCAAGTATCCCTACGATAAACGGAGTGCCAAATGCCCAACGATGAGCAGTACGTTTTAAGAACCCAGGCTTCTGTCTGACTCATCGTAGTGAGACGCTAAAAAACTGAGGGTGAATACATTAATAAGGTTAGACAAATCTGTATGTATAACAGGCTATATGTAGAAAAGACCCGAGAACGGCCGCCTACAAGTTTATAGTAGTAGTTCTCTGAGTTCAATGATAAGCACTACAAAGGAGTTTATGAGCGCAGACAGTGAGCGTAACCCTCCAACCACCCGAACTCAACCAGCTACCATATAGATTTCTACCACATTGAGCGTAAAGTATGAGACATCGCAACTGATAAGAGAGCGCCTTCTTACGACGGGTCACGTAACTGACCTCTGTCAAGGGGTCAAAATACAAACTTTTGCTGAGTTCAAAATAAAAGCCTTTGCAGAGCACTATCCGAGCAATGTGAAGCTATTAAAGATATACAGTGGCAAATATGGGAGAGAAAAGATTTTCCGCTCACGCTGGTCTACTGACAAACGAAGAGTCAGTTCCTGAAAGAGTGGAAACCGGAGAGGTTCCGGTTATCAATAAACTGGAAAAAGTTTGGAACCGATTGAGAAATCATCATTTCAAAAGGTTTTGGTAAACAATCGGTAGTTTTTAACTGGACAACATTTCGCTTTCGACACAGTCCATCAGACCAAGTGAGCAGGTCACCAAGTTGGTCAGATTTTAGGGCAGACGGAGAACCAATCAGTAAGACGTCTTCATATTAGCGCATTAAATCAGTCTTGCGTGTCAATTAACGACCCTTGTCGGTTAAATTGGTTGCCCAAATCTTGCATTAATGGGTTGGGGGAGTTTCAGGTTAGTTCCGATCGGGTTATGTTCCTTGATCTTCCACTTCGGGGATGCTTTGGTTGATGATTCACCGCCGCTGCCACTGGTAGATTTCGTTAATCTCTGTGAGTCTGTGAATGTTGCGACAATTTAGCTCGGGAAAGGGAAGGTGCGTGAGGTTAAGTGGTAACCGCACACCAACACGTGTCAGCTCGACTGATCAAAGACCATTCTCCACACGCTTGCCAATTACACGCCTTCGATTCCGTTAACACTGGGACGCTTGCAGATTTCTGCCGCCTCGGTCATCAGCCGCTGTGAAGTGGACCGTAGTCCTCACCCAAAACCCCAAAATTTTCCTAATATATTTTGTGTCCGGTATCCAGTGCATGTGACGCAATTGCCGAGTCTTTCAGTAACGCTCGATATTCAACTGGTCGCCACCACAACTCCACCCGGCGCATCATCCGGCACCAGGTGAAACTGAGTGTCCACGCAGACCGAGAAGCTTGGTGGACCAGAAAGGTCGAAGAAATGGAAGATGCAAAGAATGCTGGAAACGTGCCCAAATTGTTCCACTTGATTCGTTCGACTGGTCCTCGGAAACCTCTTGTCAGTGAAACAATCAGGGACCAAAATGGCTCCCTGATATGCGGCAAAGCAGAACGTTTGGACCGCTGGGCACAGTACTTCGAACAGCAATTCAGCTGGCCACCTGCTACCCCCAATCCAGAAACCCGGCCTCCAACAGAAAGGTGGACCGTAAATATGGAGCCGCCTTCAGTCTCAGAAGTGTCCGAATGCATTTCTCTACTCAAGCGTCATCGTGCCGCTGCTCCGGACGACCTTCCACCTGCTCTTTTCAAGGATGGCGGTGGATTCCTCAGTCAGTGCCTGTGTAGCCTATTTGGGTTTATCTGGGAGAAGGAGACCGTCACAGACAACTGGGATGAATCGATAGTGGTACCCATTTTCAAAAAGGGTACTCGCAGTGAATGTAGCAACCACAGAGGCGTTAGCTTGACACCTGTTGTGACAAGGCTTCTGGCATCATTGATTCTTCGTCGTCTCATGGCGGCACGCGAAGTCTTGACTCGTGAGAATCAAGCGGGATTTCGACCGGGTAGAGGCTGCCTTGACCACATCTTCACACTCCGTCAGGTGTTAGAGCAACGCCACATGTACAGACGACCCACAATCCTGGTATTCCTTGACTTCAAGGGTGCGTTCGATTCTGTCGACCGATCAGTTCTGTTAACTACACTTGCTCAACAGGGTATGCCCCAGAAGTTTGTAAACATAATCCGATCTCTATATCCACATACTTCTGGGCGGGTGAGGGTGTATGGTGAGCTCTTCAAAAACTTTCCTACAAAAAGTGGCGTCAGACAAGGATGTCCACTCTCCCCATTCTTGTTCAACTTCGTCATCGATGAAATAATGAGGCGAACATTGGACGGTTTTCAAAACCCCGGTGTTCAAATTGTTGCTGGCGAGAGCCTTGTCGATCTGGAGTACGCAGATGACATCGCCCTCATCTTTGAAGACCATAGCGAGGCACAAGCCCTGTTGAATAAACTGACCGCCATCATACCATCATTTGGCATGCGCCTTGCACCTTCAAAGTGCAAAGTCCTGTGCGGTTACCAGCAAAGAGTACTCATCAACAGAAGTAGCTTAGATCAGAAGTGTACAAACTAAGCCGACCTCCGAACTAAACTGTCGTAGCACTTACAAAGCTACACGGCGGTACCAGTTGAAGGACCTTGAACTGAAAAATCAAGGACCCAAGCCTGAACAGGATGATTCTAACCTCCCTTTCCAGCCCATCGACCTTAGGATTTAGACACCCCACAAACCGACATTTTAACTCTCATTCAAAACTGATCTAGTGTGCTAATTGGAAGAGATTATACGCACTGGTTCTCCGTCTGCTTTAAAACCCGGCCCACTTCGTATACACTCAGCCTAAAGTAGAACGTAAACCTCTATACAGATACCCTAGAACACCAGCTTTTTCTGAGTGGAAGAATGCGACATAATTAGAAAATCAAGTATTAAAAATCAATTAGTTGATCAATAAAGGGCACAGAGTGAGTTGATACCTAAAGGTGACATAGTTACGCCGATCAAAAATGCCGTTGGACCAAAGTGAAGTCATGCAAACGGATTCGGTAGGTATCTTGCAACGTGACAAAGTGAGGTTAACAAATCAAAGAAAAGCTGGGGAACTACTTACATGCTGTGCTGCTGCATCTGATTGGATGGTCACCACTGGGATAACTCCGGTGGTGGGGAATAAATTCGACGAAACGTTGTTCAGTTCTTCTTTCGGAACCGATTCTGGTCGTGGTTCTTGTTGAGTTGCAGTATCACCGATAACGGAGCCACTGGGTTCATTGTGAACTTCGGCAGTCAAGTGCGTGGTATTACTCTGTTGTTGCTGTTGCTGTTCCATCAAAGTGTACTGACCAGCTTCCTTGGCAAACCGGAGTCGGAGAGATCCAGTACTAAGTGACGTGGTAGTCTCACTGGAAAGGAACGAAAGGCTACTAGTTGGAGTAGTCACCTCCGGTAGCGCTGCAATGACAGTCGATGGACTAGCGATGACAGAACTAGGGTTGGTGACCGAAGACAGTTGTCGCGGACGATTTGTTGGACTAGTTGCTTTGTTGGTCAGTCCACAGGCTGATGATGCCGGTGGATGGAGCGACACGCCGGCTTCGAGAGGCTCTTCAGTCTCATCATCCTCAAACGCATATGGATCCTTGTTCACTGCCAGAGAGAATAGGGTAAGTAAAGTGATACTGGCGTGCTAACTTCCGATAAGTTGCTAGTATGCAACTTGAATGACGGCCGGAGACCGCTACTGCGCCCAAAAGATCAGCTGAAGTAGGGCTGGTAGGACTTATTACTGAAGCTACGGCTGCTATGTAACTCGTGCCACGGGGGCACGTGCGTGATAAGGCGAGATTTTGTCATACATAAACATGCGCGCGCCATGCAACACAACACTTCATTTGCGTCGATTTTGGCTCTCGGTTATCATACATCACATCACACTCGCCTAGTGCGCACAGTGCGAAGCAGACTTATTCTTGTTCGTATTGTTGTAGCAACGCACGCGCTCACACACCGTCACACAATTTCACAGCCAAGGCAGTCCACCATTAGCCACTATCGAGAACTACGGACACACCGAACACATGTGCGTATAGCCAGATACAAAAAGGCACATGCATCAAGAACGTGAAACGGTAACGACGCACGTAGGAGGAGCAGGACAACAACAAAGACATATGAAAGTGTGTTGTTCCACAAAACGACAAACCAACTGGCACTTCTGGATCCAAGACACGCGCGCAAGTACACGCACGTGGCAGTTAGTATGGCAGTGAGATGTGCAGTGGGACGAAGTACAGAAGAAGGGTTCAAGGATTGATGACCACCACAGTAGATGATTATGATGATGGTGATCGCCAAGCAGAGCTGACGAACGGACATACACAAAGTAACCGACCACAGAAAAAGCGACTTAGGACAGAAGTTGATAATCAAGCACATGGCTACAATACTCCAAAACGAGTGGTGGTGTGGGAATATCCTGAAAGACACCAAGAACAACCAAAGCAAACTAAAAGTGGAGGAACATAAAAAGCATATCTATCCGTCAGACCGCTACCTTCTAGACACTACTTCATAAATAGGTGTGTCCAACATTAGGCTGCGTTCTCAGTTAAACGGATGAAACCAAAGATAGTCATATTAAAGTGCAATAAACTCACAGCAATAAGTGAAGAGTTCGAAGGTAAAAATGGTGAGGATCTATCGACGCGGAGACAACTAGCCCATTACACAACATCAACTGCATCTTAAGTTGAATGGTTACGGGTATCTACGGCATGGTCTTTGCACTTAATCATAGCCTGTTTTGGTAAATTTTATCCGGTTGCACCGCAGCCAAAGTGTAGGCATTCGTGAGCTATGCACTTTTCATACCCTAGTCAGGGGCAGATACGACTAGTTGGTGTGGGAGTCAGTTTTGTTTACTTAAATACCTCCCATTGTGGGAACTGCCCATGAAACTCAGCAGTATGGTCCAGTAATCGTTGCCAATTATTCCCAAAGGGGCAGGGAGTGGGGAGGTAAACATTCAACAAGCTGTTCGTTTTCCGCGTAGCCGTCAGATTCTGTCACCACGTTTGCCAATAGAAGGTTTTCTGATAAATCATACTCAAAGTCTAATTACTTCGCACAACCACGAACATGTACTACTTTGGTGCCTTTGCACGCCTTTGCACGTACTGTTTCGTCAGTGAGAAGTCGCTTTGATCTACTGTTTCCAAAATGCCGTGGACAACAAAAACAGTCGGTTAGAAAGCAGCTATCAGACACGTTCACAAAATGACCAATTCCATCCGTTATATGCAGAAACGTTCGATCCATCAAAGTTGCGAAAGTCTTGCTTCCTATAGGTTATCACAATTAGTGATACCAAAATTAGTTTTTCAAAATTCTGCACAGTAATTTAACGTACCTGGGATTAAATATGAGGATATTTGATGATCAGCACGTTGGTTAGGTTACAGTGGAACAAACCGGTGCTACTTAGTGCAAACAGCGTGCTAAGGCAAATGCAATCGTGCTTGCGGCAGAACCGATCACTTTTGGTTGATCCCATGATATATTCATAAGTTTTTGGGATTCAATAGAATTCAGTGGAAATGTACCTCGCACGACTACAGGGACTTTAAAGTAAACCGGGTAGAAGTCAATCGAACGGGTGACGCAGTAGTGGAAAATTAGTGATTCAGCTGTGGTACGCTGTTGTTTCCGCTTAACTCGAGAGAGATACGAGGGTAGAGATACTGGAGAGGTTGCCCAAGCCTAGATGATGGCAATCAAAAAGCCAGAGTTGCATTCGAATCACGAACCTTCTCTTCCATTGTTTCGAAACTCAATGGCTGAGTTAGCTCAAGCAATGGTGGAACACGCACGTAGCTCAAAGAGAAGCGAAATCTATACTTACGAGTTTTTGGAGGCAATAGATGAGAATCGCTCGTCAGGTTCTTTGACACAGGAACCGATGGACTGACCGTTGGCGTAACAGCAGTGTTCGGCAGCACTAGAGATGAGTCATTTATACCAGTAACAGTGGAGGTTGTGTGTTGTGTCAGACCGGAAGTGGACGCATTGTCCTCAGAATCAGAGTAACAGACATCCGGAGTGGTCGTAGAACTGCTGCTTCGAATGAAGCCCTGTAAGTCAGCTGCTGCCAAGGTGGACGAGGAGTATCGAGAACCGTGGGAAGAAACTCGATCAGTCGAGCTATGGCTGTGATGTCCATGACGACTGACGCGCGACGATGTAGAGGTAAGAGATTTGGTTTGCCCAGTGGACGAAGAATGTAACGACCTCTGCATGTCAATGTGCTGCAGTGAAAAATTGGAAATATGAAGATGAGGGAAAGTAATACTGAATAATTTTTCCGATTCCGCACTATTTGCTCAATGTGTCGTTGAGGGGGGTAGGGACAACCTACAGTCAGAATCCCGATAGCTACAAACTGAATCAGAAGTGAGATGACGAATGAAACAGGAAAGCGGTGGGCTAACATAAAAACACAACCCCGTATGAACTACTCAGTAAAATGTAATGCAGGTTTGGGAAGAAAAACGTTAACCGATACCTTAAGACCCAAAGTTGTGATAAATTGGAAAATAAAGTGAAGGGTAATTCCCAAGGTAGAAAATCCGACGAGAGGATAAAAATGGTTTTATTAGACAGTGGTTTAAGAAAAGTAACTCAAGAAGTGGGGATAGATCGGGCACCACGGGACAGAGGAAGTGGAGTGGAAAAGACGAGATCAACGGACGTAAGCAGAAATGAACTGTAACTGAACGAGAGGTAGTCGTTTTAGAAAGATTTGAAAAACAGTCGACGGATGTAAGGTAGAGTAGAGTTTCCGGATCATTACATTTCAGTTTAGGATTCTACGTGAGTGCCATTTAAGGCTTTTGTCTGTCTGCGCAGATCAACATGGTGCAACCACGAATGAATTGAAAGCGAGCAATTACGTGTTTTTTACGGACTGCACATTTTACCCTAGCTCTAAATCACCCACAGAAACAAGTTCTTTTGTCATCACCACGCACCAATCGGCTGGTATACACAAGCTCGCCAGCTCTATTCTGCTAAAAACCGGGATGCCTGGTGATTTTCACCTCACCAGTCACCAAGCCAAGAACCATTCAAAGTTCAATTACAAACTTTATGCACTCAAATGCCATACACGAGCCACCGTATTTATTGTTAGCTTACTAAATATGGGCGTAAAAAACAAAAAGAATTCATGGATTTTGCGAATAATCAGACAGATACAACTGGTTTCAAAGGATTTTTAGTGGTTGCCATGTATATTCGCAATATATTCAGTAACGAGTCTATTGCACATAACCGTATTCCTCCGAAAACCTAATTGCTTCAATAAGTACTGGAGGCACACTGTCGAAAACAGGAGGCATTTCTAAAAAAACATCGATAAAACTAACTGATGGTCCATAATTGTCAAATCAGGCGAGCAGAGAACTCACAGTGTGTGGGAACATTCATAAGATATAACAATATAATAATAATTGTTTAGCTGTAACACCCTTTCGGTGCCCAGCTGCTATGACACCCGAAGGAAGCACGACGGTTGAGATACTGCCCAAGCCCAGACGAGGGAAGTCAAGAGGCAGAGTTAGTGCTAGTACCACGGATCGTTTGGTCAGTAAATTTGTGCTCTAACCATTGAGCCATCTCGCCCCAGGTGTGTCCGTATAGATCTTGTTTCCGGCATCCACAAGACGTGCCCGAAACAAGATCTATACAGACACACCCAGGGAAACGCAGACACCGTATTTAGTTCCAGCTGAAGGTCGTCAAAGAAACCAGTCCTTAACTTGACTGACCAACAACACCTGATTGATTTTAACCGTGATTATCGTCCACTCGGTATTCCATCTGCATAAGTTATTTGACAAAATATAAATTTCGTTAACAACACGAACCTATTCACTAACAATTTCACTCAGACTGAGTAACGGAGGAATAGTGGATGAACAAAATCCCACACGTTGCAATGTCGTCTTGACAAGTGTTTTCGGCCTCCTGGGACCTGGTGAGTGTTGTCCAGTTTGACAGATAGCTGATGTATGTTATGGGGATTTCGAAGATGGGCCAATGGAGATATCAAAAGTTCTTTTAAATATAGGGTTTTATTTTATGGTATTTGTTTTGTGCTTTCTCGTTACACAGCACATTAGCACTGTACGTGTAGACCACAGATTTGGTGGACACATGCAGGAAAATTTTAATCGAGAAAAAAATTTTGTTCGGAACACGATGCACCACATTGTGAGATGGAATCAAGTCAACTCAGAAGGATATTTGAGATCAGTTTCACACTACTCGTAACATACCAGTAAGTAAATGCGATAAGCGAGGACAAACCTGACGTAGCTGAGATGACCTCATCGAGCGGCTGCGCACACCAATAAACTTCTAACTTGTAAACGGCTACGATTGAACTCGGCGAGAGCTGCGAGTTTTTCCCCTCACGAATGACTCGCTGAACAATAACTACGATTAAAAATGTGGGTTAGATGCTGTAAGGCGAAACCCTACACCAAAACGGCCTTATCGCTCGCAACAAGGTGCTGCCATGGTCAATAAGCCCAACTCGCACATGAGTGGTCGCAAGACCGGGCTGCTTACCAGTCCAGCATCAAGGAGAGCTCTGTTTAGCCGAAAGTGAGGACCCAAAAGCCAGTCACATCCCAGTCTTCGCTGAATGCCGGTTGCGCATCCGGACATCCGAATTTCCAGAGCATAGCCGTTGCACACGCTATACACTTTGCTTACCCCTTGGTAGTTTTTCCGTCGAAAAGAGTAACTTGGGGGACCAGACCGAGAATTAAGACATTACCGTTAGTAGAGATGCACACTCTCCGTTCCGTTCGTACAAGCGTTTAGGTCCTGCAGTTGATAGGGTAAAAACTTTGCTTACCCCTTGGTAGTTTTTCCGTCGAAAAGAGTAACTTGGGGGACCAGACCGAGAATTAAGACATTACCGTTAGTAGAGATGCACACTCTCCGTTCCGTTCGTACAAGCGTTTAGGTCCTGCAGTTGATGAATTAGGGTAAAAAAACTCACGGGTGTGTACGGAAAGTGGCAAGCAGAATAGGGGGCGCTTACACAAGAATCGCCAAACTGAAAAATATCGTCAGGCAAGGAGATCATGCAGTGCCACCACAATGCCACATTACACTTGGTGTTACGACCTGCGATGTTATCAGTGAGAATGATGGTGAATACGAAGGGATTAGTAAATGAAACTAGTCGAAGTTACAAACATTAGATTCACTCAGTGTAGTAGAATTCATACGCATTTTCGCTATGATCCAGCACCCCAGACAGCACAAAATCCAGTGTCATTAACAACGGGATTTGAATTTACACAAATGCTACATTTTCACTTGCATTAGGTTTCACCAAAGCCTGAAGATAATAATCCAGTTTCTGATCATGGCTTGCTTGGTGTGCCAAAAACACCAAAACGCATAAATTAACCACTACGCACTACGATTAAAAAGACGGAGAACGTGGGATAGTTTTCTCTCTGCATCAGCTAAGAACGAGAATGAGCGATTTTTAACATAAGAGAGAAATCTTGATCCTAGATATTAAAAAAACACCAAAGCCTGGTGACTGATTCAAGATCTGGCAGGAATTAACTCACGAGAAGTCTAAAAAACTCCGTTCCGTGACAAAACGTACCTGGTTGAGTAAAACTATACTATCATGATCTTGACAAAGATCAGCGGGACGTAAGCCATGACTGTTCACTACGAAGGGGTCTGCGTTATGACGTAACAGTGCACGGATCACTCGGGTGTGACCCATTCTAGATGCTTCATGGAGAGCCGTGTCACCGTTCGGTCCGGCTAAGTCTGGATGCGCTCCATGTTTGAGGAGATACGCCACCAAGCGAGGTAGATTACGAGCACTAAATTCGTACAAAGCCGTACGACCTGAAAATGTTCAAACGGAAAAGTGAAAGACTACGATGTGAGCTGGAGGTTTGTGAAACATCTAGAGTATATTCACAGTGGAGGATAACGAGCGAAGAGTGCTCAACATGTCTCATTCATCCTACTGGACAGAATATCTAGTACAACAGATTTGCAACTAAGTCACCAGCTGTTCGCCCATTTTAGCAAAATACTCGAAACAGAGTAAAAGAAAACCATGAACTAGGATAAAGACTATTCGGAACGATCTAGTGCATATCGAATACGTCTGAATTGGTAAGAAGATTCTGAGTGAAAGCCCGATGTCTAGAGCTTCTCAGTTTGTAGACAAAAAGCCGAGTGGATTTAGGTAACAAGCAGATGATATTATCATCCTTCCACAACCTGTAAAGGTCATTTGGAGCGTGATAAAGTTGAACCTCATCTAGCAAGAACTATCTAAACCCAACTCGCACAACGAGAAACCCGGATCGGGCCCTATTGCTAAGCTGTACTTATTCAGCGAATAGATGTCATAGAATCCACATTCATAAATGACCACGCCACACAGGACCAAGGTGGAAGAATCGCACAGCACTACTGCCTTGTGTCGCTGGGTGATAGGACAGATCCCACTATCAATGCGAATCAGATGGAAAGCTCCATTCAGCAGTAGAAAAGGTCAACCAAGTCGACGCTTCAGCGCACAGATTTGCATGCTGAAGCATAAGTAGTGATATTACGTGGCGATGCCTCGGAACATTAGCAGTTTGTTTGTATTTATTGCTAGCGTGTAACATCATCTATAGAGAAGCTCAGACTATACTTTGTGTAATTGACCAGACTACATACAGTTGTTCTCCTTCAGTGAAACCACTTAGGTTTGAGCCCTTTGTGTGGTCTCTTTGTTGATGGACAATGTGCCTGGAATTCGAACTTCTTACAAACCTTAATTTGATAGTCGATCCGGTGGCTGTTTATCTGTTCGCCAAGCTTGGCAATTTGCAGGTGTGGAAAGCTCCATTCAGCAGTAGAAAAGGTCAACCAAGTCGACGCTTCAGCGCACAGATTTGCATGCTGAAGCATAAGTAGTGATATTACGTGGCGATGCCTCGGAACATTAGCAGTTTGTTTGTATTTATTGCTAGCGTGTAACATCATCTATAGAGAAGCTCAGACTATACTTTGTGTAATTGACCAGACTACATACAGTTGTTCTCCTTCAGTGAAACCACTTAGGTTTGAGCCCTTTGTGTGGTCTCTTTGTTGATGGACAATGTGCCTGGAATTCGAACTTCTTACAAACCTTAATTTGATAGTCGATCCGGTGGCTGTTTATCTGTTCGCCAAGCTTGGCAATTGACTTGCAGGTGTTTCATCACCTTTCGAAGAGGCATCCAATCACTTAATTCAATACTATCGTTTTCAAAAGAACCGTTGTCCCTCTCTGAACGGAACACTCCCCGGAGGTATCACCCTTAAGAGGAGAGTTTTGCCTGGCACATTATAGCGTATTTACGTTGTACATGTTTCCACAAAATAGCAGAATCATCATCACCATCGACAGCATGACATCAGTGTTCAACACCGATGCTTCACTGCCGTACAACCATGACTTATTTGAAAGCCTTATTGTAAAGAAAAGAATAAAGGTAATGGGGAGGGAATTAGTCTAGCTTAACACAATCATTCCGAGGTGCCTACACCTCCAGACATTCACTCAGCCAATGTGGACAGAAACTGACAACAAGAACGCCACTGACATCGGTTGGCAGCCATATCTTGTAGTGTCTCCAACCAGGCACAGTGAGGACCACGCGGTCCCCATCCTGGAAGGCGAGTAGCACCGACAGCACCCAAGCGTTTCGTGATCTCCTTCATATTCCTCTGCCAGGTCAAGGGTTGGCCACCTCTTTGTTTGCGCCACTGCAAATTGGGCATGGAAAACAGTACACCCTTGAGCATGGTTCGGCATGCGTAAAACATGTCCCAACCAACGCAGCTTCTGGTGCTGGACACATTCTTCAATGGAAGTACCCGTTACACAAC